GCCCTCCCTGGTGGCACAGCAGGTTAAAGAACAGCACTGAGAATCTAAAACCAATTCTGCATGAGTTTGATCCCCGCTTGCCCTGAAGGAGATCCACATGGCGCGGCAGACCTCTCCTGATCGGCCCGCTGCTCCCCTCAGCAGTATACTTTTTTGATCTGCCTGTTCTGTACCCCACTCTGTCTCTGGTGAATCCTCTCACCCTCCTTATCTCTGGCCTGTACCCCAGTACTGTACGAATGAATAAAAAGAAAAAAAGTCCAGATTATAATTATGTATTAGTGCTGGCATGGATGTGGAGAGGCTAGAACCTCACACATTGCTGGTAGGAATGTAAAATTGTATAATAACTTCAAAAATATTTTTTAGTGCCTTAAAATGTTCAACACCTAATAATTCTATCCACAATATCCCTTAGGGAAATAAAAACATATTCCCATCAAGAACTTGTGTAAATATTCATAGCAACATTATCTATTATAGCAAAAAAATGGATATAGTGAAATGCCCATTATCTGGTAAATGACTGAAAACAAAATCTGGTATATCTTCATAATGGAATATTCCTTAGCAATAATAATGTACTGCTAATACTACAACATGGATAAAAATCATGCTAAGTGGAAGAAGCCAGATGCAAAAGATTACACATTGTATGATTCCATTTACATGACATTTCTAGAAAAGGCAAGTCTTTAGAGATAGAAAACAAATCACTGGTTGCTGAGGATTGGAAAGTGGGCAGTATTTGACTACAAATGAATGTAAGAAAACTTGTTGGACATAATGGAACTAGTCTGCAAGTAGACTGGGATGATAGTTGCAAACTTTTATAAATTTACTAACAATTCCCGAATTACCATGTCTGATGACTAAATTTTATACTATATAAATTACATCTCAGTAAAATTGTTAAGAAATTAAACCTCCTAATTTTAAGATGTTCATAATGAACTCAAATTCTTAAAAAACAGATATAGAAAAAAATACCCCAAGCCCTCTATACTAAGCAGCAAGAATAGAAATTTGAATAAAATAAAATCCTTGTCTTCCAGGAATTTTAGTCCCAAAGGGAAAAGCTGTAGAGTAAAATTACAAAGCCCTGTGACACACAATGAGGACACCATGAAAAAGGTTTGACTCTGGAGTTAGGTTTTGAAGGGTCAATAGGAATCAGGAAATTGCAAATGTAGAAAGTGGAAAAAAGAGTTGAGTGACATTTCTGGAAGGGGGACAGAAAGGCAAAGGCTTAAAGGTGTGAAGAAGCGATTTCCTTTATAAGAACTGAGAAAGCTGGAGATTTGATAGACGTGAAAATAGAAAGAGTAGGAAAGGGGGACCAGGTCATGAAGGGCCCTCTGAAAGTCTCCGGATATAGGATTAAACAGGATTTATTTCTTGAAGGAACATGGACCTGCTTCTTTTGCTAAATTAAACTTTATATATCTTGGTAAATTCATATTGTACTCATTTAATAAATATTCATAAATATACTGCTTATTGAGTGCCAGGCACCGTCTTAATACTTTATATAAACTCACTTAGTTTCATCAATAGTGGATCTCAACCTGTACCAGAATTACCTAGAAGTCTTATTCAGACAGAAATCAGAGGTTCTGATTTAGCAGGTCTGGAGTGAAGCCCAACAATTTGCAGGTCCATCCAGTTCCCAGAAGAAATTAATGCTGTTGGTCCAGGAAGCACACACTGAGTACCACTGCATTTCACCAACCCTATGTTGGTGTATCATTTAATAGAGTTAAAACTTAGTCTCTGGGAGACACAATCTAGATAAGGAAGGGACGTCTACAGAGCTACCACGGGGACCTGGCCACAAGCCCACATAACCAATAGGGGGGCGAAGGGGCTTCCCAGGAATGAGGGAGCAGGACAAACAGAACCAGGTGGGACACCCCCTGTGCGGAGGGCCCACCCAAACCTGATGTTCCAGCAGCTAGCAGCTAGCAGAGACCCACTCCTCCGCCCATGAAAAGCCGTGAAAAACAGGTTTAAAAGGGAGTCGCAAATCCTTCCAGCAGAACTTTCCTTGCAGGGTATTTCAATAAATTGAACTTTTCTGTTCTTCATTTCATCTCCGGTGAACTTTTTCATCCCCACCCTTCTGGTCTCATCCCATCATTTCTCCTCACTACACCTTATAAGAAATATATCACTATCATCACCACCATTTCCATTTTACAGAAGAGAAACAAACAGAAGATCAAGCAAGCTGCTTTAGTGATGGAACTGGCATTCAGTCAGGCCAGGTTTCCCACATCGCCCTGGTTCACAGGTGGCAGAGAACCAGAGTTGAGGGCTAGAGCAGCCCTTAGTTTGAAGCCTTGTTTGTACTATCAAGTCTCTCTCTCTCTCACACACGCACACACACACACTCTCTCATATACACACACACTCTCTCTCTCTTACCTGACAACCGAAATAAAGACTATCTGATCCCAAGGGGCTGATGAGGGAAAGTCTTTGAGGAACTCTTTAGGCCTTTCAAATGAAGGATTATTCTGATTCCAATGGGGTGAAGTCAGGATTTAAAAATGCACAAATATCAATGTATAAAATAATTAAGTAAATCATTAAATGAAATGTCACAACTCAAACTAAGCATGATACTTAATATCTGGTGTATCTTTGAAAAATGTCTTAAAAATATGAAAACTAACAACATTTGGAGAAGATAACCTTGCTTTACACGCTACTTTTGAGGGAAGGGGCCCTAAGATGAAAATGGCAACCCTTCCATGAATTTCCTTGCTTTTCACATCTTGATGTAATCTGTAGCATCTCCCTGGTTTCCTTCCAATAAACAACTTACTTAAATTGGTGGCATTATGTTATTTTTGAGATCTGAATCACAGAGACTGTAAAACAAGCCTGCATGCTCCATCTTGTCTTTTTGTTGAGTCTGTATATCTAATTAAAGCTTCTTACAGGTCCATAAAAAGACCTAACATTAAAAAAGCAGTTTGTGTTGGAGAAAGCCCCAGGGTAAATTGAAGAAGGGGTTTCATCATTAACAATAAACGCATTTGCTTAAATTCAAAGTTAAGTAATAATGTATTAATTTGTACTTGAATATTTTTAAATATTGCCTAAGTATAATCAGATCATGTTACCACATTTATGGTGTGGGGCTGAAAATGGGTCATGATCTTGCCAGCAGCACTACAGCTTCCTAAGAAACACTGGGTTGAATAAGTGATTTACCATGTGGCCTATACTGCCTCCTTCTCTGGAGGAGAGTTGAAGTCCACTTTGTTTAAATCAATTTACTATTCTATTCCTTTTCAGTTATTGTTTGGCTATTCTTATGCCTTTAGTTTTATTTTAGAACTTATTCAAAACCTGAGTTATACAGCAGTAAGATAAGCATTTGCTTTGCAAGGGTTTATCTAGTATGGCCATTGTTTTGTGGTTATTGTTACATCTCAGGGGCTGCCGGGAGGGCCTGGCAATGGAGGCCTTCAACCATTGGACTCATTCCCTTGGGAGATCATTAGAGTGGTATTTTTTCCCTTTACTTGGCTACAGGGTTCTCTGAATAGTGATAGCTTCCTGAGGGGAAAAGGGCACAATCTTCCAGCTTTCTGGCTTTTCAACAAAGGCACAAATTCCACAAACCAAGTTAGGAGTTCTTGCTTAAATACTGGTAGAGTGATAATGTCAATTTCTAAGTAAGATAACTTTTTTATGGTTTTTCTAAGTTACAATGATCCCAGAAACCAGGCCCTGACTCAGACATGAGGTGCAGAGACCCAGCCTGAAGCCCAGGGCCTAAAGCTTTCCCAGTCCAGGACCCATTCCCCCATGCTAGGGCCTTAGGCAACTGGGAATCCCCTAGAACAGAAAAACTGCGTCTTAACCTGAGGATTTGCACCTCCAAACAACCCACTCTTGCTTCCTCCATTATCTTCAGTATTGTAAAGTCTAATGCTATGCAAAGTCCTAAAGAAAGGCTACTGATATTTGCAGGTCAATGGAGACCTTTGCTAAAGCTTTCTAGATTTCTCCTTAGTGTCTAGCTAATCAAATTTGGAGCATCAAATTTAGAGCATCTAAGCAGCTTTGAGTGTGTGCTCTTTGCTAGGCGTCTTTTCCTGGAAGAGGCTGGAAAGCAGGGAGAACCATGAAAGGGGAAAGCAGCCAGGATAAACCTGACACTGCCCTGTCCTCCCCTCTGGTACCTGGGAGAGCGGACTCCGAGGCACAGCAAGCCAGCGCCCTCCAGCTAGCGCTCAGCTCCGTTCCCGAGCCACCAGGCCTAACGACCAGGCAGCCGAGGCATGTAGTGCCAGGATTAATGCCTGGCCTGTTTTGAACGCCTGATTTCATGTTTTTATACTTTTCAAGCCCTTGCCTTTCCACGCTGTTTCCAAGGGGAGGAAGCCTGGCCAGACCAGTGTCTCCTGCTAACCTTTAAAGCCAGCAGTGCTTTCTGATGCTGGACCTTCTTCTAGATAGCAGCAAAATCAAAGCGTCCTTTAACACTGGGTCCGCAGAAAGCCTAGATAATAGAGAAAAAAGCCATATGTATGCACATGGATACGAATGTATATTTTCTCTCCCTCTCCTGGGCAGAAGATGGGGTCAACCTATAAACGGGCAAGATGCTTGCAGCTCTCAGCCCATGCGCCCCCGGGAAGCAGAATTCTGTGCTGATCCAGTCTCTTCCCTCCGATTTCTCTCGACAGCTCGCGCTACTTTTGTCGGCCTTTGTCCCGAGTCCCTGGTGCTTCCTCCTTCCTGGTGCCCTGGCCTCCTCGGGCGCCTCGCCCGCTTCCTACCGCTGCCAAAGCACAGACTCGCCGGGGTCCGGATGCCGGCAGGATGCCCGCCAGCAGCCCAGGCGCTGGGGCCGCAGGTGCGCCCCGCCCCGCTCTTCTCGCGGCCCCGCCCCGGCTACGCGTCACAGTGACGCGCAGCCGCGCAGGCGCAGTGCAACCCCACCCCCCTCCCCGCGGGCGGCCGTCCGCTTGGTATTATGATTAGCACTGGGTGCGGGGAATCGGCGGCCGGGAGGGAGTCGTCGGCGCCACGGCCGCTGCGGACGGACGACCGCCTGGCGGCTGAGGTAGGGGCGGGCGCTGAGCGCGGCCG